AAGAGGGAAGGGGGTATGGATTAGGGATAGGGCCTGGTGTGATTTGAGCTACTGAGGGATCCTTAGGGTCAATCTATTATCTCTCCTAAGATTTGCTTACATTTTACAGGAGGGTTAAATACTTAAACAGAATGGATAAAACCGTAAATGGAATTTAGGTTGTCTTGAAATTACGATGTTTATGGCTTCTGCCTTGTAAGAGAGCAGTTTCTATAATACTATGTTTCTGAATAGTTCAAGAAACGTTTTGCACAAAGGCTTATAAAATGGCCTTACAGAGCCCACCTCCAAGCCTGGGGGTGGATGTGCCACATGCCTAGAGAGCTGATTTCAAAGTCAGGACTGAGCCCCCACTTTCTTTTCATGTTCTTTGTATATTGGAGCAGGACCTACCCCTGGCTTACCCAGGACAGACAGCACTGGAACCAGACAGCTGCCCCAGGGTGCAGCCCCACTACTGACCAGAGCCTCAGGGAATTAGGAGGGAAAGAAGAAAAGACAATTAGTGGGATTATCTCCTTAATCCAGCCACAAGCTGCAGCCCTGACTGCCCTTCCTGAGTCCACCATCACCCCACCAGCCCTGCTCCTCTGGCTGGTCTTCCAGCCGCGTCCCACCCAAGGTTTATCTCCAAGAGTGTTTTCACCCAGTTTTACCTTTCGGAGACTTACGCAGGGCCGTTCTCTGAGAAGCTAGCTCAGTAGATGGTTTCACTTTTTCCTGGCAATGTACTGACTCCAACTCTCCTAGTCTTAAGAAAACACTGCTGGACGGTGTTCCAGGATGTAGTCGTTTACCAAGGGAACCCCACCCAGCTTCGGAGGCCCTGCTGGGAGCCCTGTGCAGATTAGTAGATCAATAATAAGCAGGGCAGGCAGGAAAGGACACGGGAATCAAGAGGATAGCAGAGGAAACTGAAGAAAGGAGAGACACCCAAGAGTAGAAAGCGACTGGGAGCTGCCAAGGAATAAAAAAAGTAGCGCTGATGGGGAGGAAGACATGTGAGTTAAAGGGGGAAGTTTCTGTGAATGTCTTAATATGTGGTAGTGTAAGCAGTAGGTTACCATGCCCATTTGTAAAAAGAAAAAAAAACCTTCAAACTGTGCTTCAGAAATTCCTCTCTATACAAAAACGTTAATAAGCTCTCAGGCAGGGCCAGCAGGTGGCATGGTGGTTAAAGGCACTGGACTCCCACATGGCCAGCCATGGTTCAAGTCCCAGACCTGGTGGCTTGCTTTCTCACTTTCCTTCTCTCCTTGATCAAACTGGAAAATAATAATAAATAAAGTTCAATAGAATAATTCTCTTTAAAAAATAAGCTCTGGGGACCAGCAGTTAGCGTAATGGCTATGTCGCTGGACTCCCACGTAGTCGACCGCGGTTCGCGTCTCGGACCTGGTGGCTTAAAACTCACGCCAGGTGCATGTGCGTGCATGCCCAAGATCCCGAGAGGAGAATGGAGAAGGGATTGCGGCGTGACCATCCCCCCTGGGGGGTGATTTCTCACTTTCTATCTCTCTGTCTCTCTCTGACTGTCTGGCGAGCGCACGCGCCCTATAGCAAAAACCTCTCCAAAAAAAAGAAA